CCTCCGGGGCAGGCGGGAATCGAACTCATGCGGAAGCGGCTTTAGATTCTCAGTGCTGTGCCCCAACCCGCCGCGCCACCAGGGAGGGCCCTCTTTATGATAGATTTTTAAAGATAGAATTAACAAGTAAAATATTGTGTATTTTATACACTGGTCAAATATCTCCCTTTCTGTTTATTATGACATTTCAAATATATACACAAATAGACTATAATCAATTGTATTATAAACCCCATGCATCCATCAACTATTTTAACAATTACTAATATTTTACCTATGTTGTTTTATCTATTCTCCCACCTTTGTCCTCCTACCAAATACCTTTATATATTTGATATTTTAAAAGATTTATATTCATTCATTCATTCATTCATTCATTCATTCATTCATTCATTCATTTATGCATGCATACAAGAACTGGGGTATAGGTCGGAGGTACGAGGTCAGGGGGTGGTGAGAGGATTCACCAGAGACAGAGTTGGGGGAGAACAGGGCTACTGAAACACACTGCTGAGGGGAGCAGCAGGTGAGACAGGAGAGGTCTGCTGTGCCATGTGGGTCAGCTCCCTGGGTGGGGATTGAATTAGTGCTGCAGTGGTGGCTCATAGCTTCAGAGTGCTGAGACTTAACTTAGCCCCTGCACCACAAGGGAGGCCCCCTATATGCACTTATTTTTGCTGGAACATTTAAAGCAAGATCTAAGCATCACTGATTTTATTAGTAAATTCTCTATTATGCATATCTAACTAATAAACCCTCCTTTAATTAACTACCATGCCGTTATCACATATAAAGAATACATTTTGCATTACCTAATAAAGTAATCCATATTTAAATCATTTATTATCAAAAATGACATTTTAAAGTTATATTGATATGAAAACTTATGAAGGTTTTAATAATAATTAGCACTACTGGTTACTTGAGATACCAAAGTAAATAAAACATTTCTTACCCTCTTACAAGCTACTGTCAATATAAATGCCAGTTACGACTCTAGTAAAATATACGTTGTCATTCTCTGTTCAAAAACCTTTTATTCCTATGTTTCTTGGAGCGCGAGGTAAGTCTTTGCAATGTCCTACAAGCTATGATTCCCTCACCCACACCTTTGTGAATTCATTTTCCACTACTCTCCCCTTTGCTCACTGGCTCCAGCTACCCAGGCTTCAATGGTTTCTTGAACACACCAGACTCTTGACTAAAGCTATTGCCTCTTCCTGGACTGATCTTTTCCACATAGCCTTATGATCATAACCTCTCCTCCACCAGGTTTTGCTTAAATGACCACCTCTCTGTGAAGCTTCGCTTGCCACTTTGTTTACCTCCTACCATCCCACTTTATCTGTTTTATTTTTCTCCATGAAACTCACTACTTTCTAAATATAACAATTACTTCTTTTCTCTGTCCCCTCCACTAGAATTTAAACTTTACAACAGATGTTTCTTTCTCATTACTGTATCCTCAGTTTCTAGAACACTGATTAATATACAGCAGACACTCAGTAAGTATTGGTGGACTAAATGAAGACATAGTGCCCGATTCTACGTTGTTAACTATCAGAACATAATGGTTAAGAGCATAAACCATAGGAAACTCAGACCTGGGATCTAATTTTATTACTATATCTACCAATTCTGTGAAATTGATG